AAGGCTTTATATAATAATCAACAAAACATTAAATTTAATATTTATTATTAATTTTTGGACAGTATGCTAGCTGTGTTGGTGTATATTTTTAATGCAATTAACTTTACTTTGCAGTATACCTAATTATTATTCCAGTTATTTTTCAGCATTCTTAATTTTTATTCAACATAGTATTATGATGATTCAATATTGTTTTTTACACTAAATTCAATAGCCATCCACAACCTTGGATCTTTAAAGAGCAATTGCTCCAAAATAATACCTTTATCGTGCTACTGGCTGCGCGTAGGTAGCTAATTGTATTTATTTTTATCCCTTGAAACTTATATGACCATTTGGCCCTGACTAATGTGATAATTATATTTTGAATGGAATATAGGCTTAAAGTCCTGCAACTGATTTTGTTTTTTGTGATTGAAATATAATTTGATCGTATTATATACACAATATACAATATTCTAGGATAATTTAATCCCTGTGTAATAATATTACTCGCGTATTATTATACTATAATATAATACAATAATGATTATATTGTCTCTCTGCTATCGCTAGAACACAAACACAATATTGTACACTATRTTTCAAAACCTGCATTATATTTACACATATATCAAACTTTGTATAGGTACCAGAATATTGAATAATATTATTACTAATGAAAATTCGCCGAAAATGCCTTTATTATTGTTGTATATTATTGAGTGAGTGCATGTACACATAAAGGTAGGTACAACATAATTATGTTTACACACATATTTTCGTATTAATGTAAAATATACGATTTTTTCGCATGTACTGTAGAACATAAATTAAATTAGATAATCGTATTATAACTCCATACAGCGTATTAGAATATAAGACCAATATTCAAGTTTACCTCGTAGCGCTAAATTTTGTGGCATGTGGCCAAATCTTAAATAGCTCGTAAATTTTCATATATTTTATATTTATCAAAAAGTAATAAAAAAAAAATTAAGTCAAAACTAGGTTAGGAATTTTKTACTAAGTTGTTAATTCTAAGTACAAGCACTCCTCGTCATTTACGTCTCCATTTCTGGTCCACAGGCTGATAACGATGATAATCATTACATGACATTAACCATTTGTTATAGGAATTAATATTGATAACGTGTTAATTMATTTTTATGATTGACGAGGAACTTAACCCTTTTATCTACTGTACTTATTAGATAGTGCTGTGTACTGACCTAACGGGATTTAGCACGTCCGTTTATTTTGTGATCTAAAGTGTACACAGATCTTTCATAATCTTATTATACTGCGATATCACCGATATCATGATATTGCGTTGGATTTAATCGCAATAATAATATTGTTGTCCATTTTACTTCGGGTCAAGCTCGCATTTAATTAAAATAAATAAATTATCAAATACCTAACATAAGAGTATAATATATTATTATATATTCGTTGCAGGCAACACTTTCGTGGCGAACGTGGCGCTAGCCGACCTGTTGATCAGCGGTCTAGTCATTCCGGCATCCGCAGTGGTCATCTTATCCGGTCTACAGGATTCTCCGCCAGTGTGTCAATTCCAGTGGTTCTTGTCGATYCTATGTTGTCTAGTAACCGTGCTTACCATGGCCGCGGTGGCGGCCGAGAACTATATACGGCTCTGTCTGACGCCCGAATGCTACGCCAAACTTACTGTCACAAAAATCACCACGCTCCTGTTCGCCATATGGATCGTCAGCTCGATCCTGGTCACGTTACAATCTGTCTACAAGATGGGACCAGACTATTGCGCCAAAAAGGTAAGGCGAGTGCGTTTGTATAATATCATAGGCCATCGTAAAATATTTTAGACATTGATGAATCGAATAATAATATATAATAATATTATATACATTATTGAAATATAACTGTTTCAGTAGAAATTTTTATGTCTCAATAAATATAGTTTCATTTATACCAGACATCGTATAACGATGTAAAAAATGTTCACAAGATTTTTTACATAGAAGGTAAAAAAAAATTAATTTCTATATTCCGTGTATAAAAGCATATTTTACACACATTTTAGTCGGTAGAATATTATAAGGTTTTTTGTTACACAATTTCATTATATTTTAAGATTCTTTGGGAAATAAAAGTAGGTAAGCGATGTTCAGTGTTCACCATTCAGGTTTTCCATAGTTTCYTGATAAATTATATCACGACTGTCACCCTTATTTATATCTCTTTACCACATAACCAAGTGTGGAGGGCACATTGAATGAAATATAGATAACTATAATTAATCCTTACAATTTATTAAATAACATAATAAGCATTATGTGTATCATGTATGTATAATATGCAATCATGGTCAAGCCATTACATCACGCGTCAACCCTTATTTTCTATACGAACGGATATTTTGTCACTAGTCAGCTCTTCCGAGAAATGTCTACTGCACTCCGTTCGGAATGTTGACATTAATTTAGACTTT